TACCCCTATGCCAAAATATATATGGGAGCTATATCTAAATCTGAACCGATTTTTCCCACGAAACTTAGCACACATCACTCTAGGCTTAATTCAGTAGGCTATGCCAAATTTCGTGCAAATTGAAAGATATATAAGATACTTGGGCCAAATTTCATCCAATTCGAATGATAAATGCGACCTGTATTTTGTTTACAATTTAACAAGGACAGACAGACGGACAGACTAACGGACATACATAAATCGACTCAGATAGTGATTTCATGTATATTCTCAAAAAGAATCATGTGTCTATCTCGTTTCCTTTTGTCTGTTACAAACATATGCACATAGACATTATATCCTGTACCACAGTGTTTTGAAGGGTATAAAAAACATTACATATTTTTTTAATATTTGGTTTCATTGATATACCTCTGCAATTTCTTGCAAAAATATATTAAAAACCTATACGTGTTTTTCGGTAAAATATATATTAAAATAAATTTACGCTTATAGTGAATTGGAAAAACCTATTTTAAAGAACACATGTTTTTATTTGCAAAACTATATAGGGGCAATAATATGTGAACTGAAATATGCTCATACAAAAAAATCAAGTTAGAAATATTTAAACTCACCATTTTATTTGCATCCATTTCTTTCTTTTTTACCGATACTCCACTCACATGCAAAGAATAGTTGTTGCTGCATTGTTTTAGGTCTTGCATTTTTTGACAGTTATTGCAAAAACAGTTATATTACTTCACTTTACTATTCTTCTTTATTTCTTGTATGTGTTGTTTGCTTTTGCATCTCACTTTGTCACTTTTGTACAGACAGCAATCACAACGAATATTTCCACATTTATATATTTTCACATCACTTTACTTCTATTTTACAATAATTTCAATTAATAACACATATAACAACACTGTATAACAGAAACCATTTGCAATAATATTATGTATAATCAATTAATTTTCTTGTATTTTTATTGCACTGAAATATTTTATTTATTTGGAGCATATCAAAAAACATACGAACGAAAAAAGTGACCGGCAACAACAGACTTCAATTTCAATCAAAAAATTATAAACAAAACAAAGACAGGTACCGTTACCCGACATTGAGAATGGGGAGAGTGGGAGAACAATGTTTTCAATGTTGCAATTGCATTGAGATAAAAAGATTGATCCCACTTCAAGTGGAGTTTGAAGAGCAAATGACGTCATGAACGACTCTTTAAAAGAGAACTATAAGGAAGAGAAGTAATTGCTAGGTCTCTTTACCACTGTCATGTTTTAGAAATCATTGCTAATAGTTTATGTTGGTGTGATTTTTATACCCATCACCACACTGTGGTACAGGGTATTATGTCTTTGTGCATATGTTTGTAACAGGCAAATGGAATCGATATAGACCCATGGTTCCTTTTGAGAATAAGCATAGAATCACATTCTGAGTCGATTTATGCATGTCCGTCCGTCTGTTGATGTTAAATTGTAAACAAAGTACAGGTCGCATTTATAATCCGATTTGGATGAAATTTGGCACAAGTCACTTATTTGGCCCAAGGACGAACCCTATTGAAATTGGAGAAAATCGGTTCATATTTAGATATAGCTCCCATATATATTTTCGTCCGATTTTTGGTAAATGGTGTACCAAAGTCCCTGATAATCATTCGATTTGTAATCATTTTGGCATAGCGTACTGATTTAAATCTAGAATGACGTGTGCTTAGTTTCGTGAAAATCTGTTTAGATTTTGATATAGCTCCCATATATATTTTCGTCCGATTTTATGTAAATGGTGCACCAAAGTCCCTATAAATCCTTAGATTTGCACGAATTTTATCATAACGTACTGAATTAAGTCTAGAATGACGTGTGCATAGTTTCGTGAAAATCGGTTCAGATTTAGATATAGCTCGAATATATAATTTCGTCCGATTTAATGTAAATGGTGCATATCTTTCGATTTGTCGAAATTTTACACAGCGTACTGAATTATGTCTAGAATATTGTGTGTTAAGTTTCCTGAGAATATGTTCAGATTTAGATATAGCTCCCATATATATTTTCGTCCGATATTAGGTAAATAGTGCACCGAAGTCCCTATATATCCTTCGATTTGCACGAAATTTAGCACAGCGTACTAAATTAAGTCTAGAACTATGTGCGTTAAATATCGTGAAAATCGGTTCAGATTTGGATATATCTACCATTTATATATTTGTCCGATTTTATGTAAATGGTGCATCAAAGTCCCTATATATCCCTCGGTTTGCACGAAATTTGGATTTATAAGTAAGTGAAGAACTCAAAATGTGGCCGAATGCACAAAACATACTAAAATAAGTGTAACCTAATATGTAACAAGTTTCGATTCGGTTTAGATTGTGATAGTTTGCTTTAAATTTGTTTACATAATTTCGTCCCATTTTAAGAAGCAACTCTATATCTGACCAAAATTTAGTATAATTTGCAGAATGACATGTTTAATTTCATGTTAATGGTCCTTCAAAAATGCGACGTCTGTTAGGATTCCATCTGTTGAATATACCAAAGTGGTGAATGGCAGCATATAGTCGGCCCTGTCTGACTTTACCACTTTTCTTACGTTTTTTTTTATTTTCCAAAATGTATAAGACGTTTAATTTATTACAAAAAGGTTTAACATTATCATCATAATACAAAAGAGTATCATATGGTTCCCCCTCAGCTTATACTGCTCCTCCTCTTCCTGCTTCCTAATTTGTTTGCCTTTAAGGTTAAGTTTTGACTCGGGAAATTTAACTCAGAAACAGAATTTTTACAATATTCTTAACACTAGATTGCCGAAGGCGGTCATTTTGACCGTTTTTCAATTTTAGGTAAAATAACAACTGTGCATATAATGGCACTTGTTTTTAAAATTTGGTGACTTTTATATAATAAACGTAATTTTATGTGGTACAAAAAGTCACAAAATTTAAAAAAGTGTCATTATATGCACAGTTGTTTTTGTACTTGAAATTGAAAAGTGGTCAAAATGACCGCCTTTGGCAATCTAGTGTTAAAAATTCGTTTTGTAGTTTACCTTTTGACGAAAGCAATCAACATATATGTTTACCTTGTCCACATTAATTAGGTAAAATAATTTTTAAAGGCCGATATATATTAGGAACTCATAGAAGTTCTAACTTATTCCTCTTAAAACACAGTTCACTAATTTCCACTCTTTTAAAACTTTTAGTCTGTAAATTTCCTCCTCAAAAAAAGTACCTACATTATTTTGTTATATTTATTGCCTGTAGAGGAGAAATAGTTCTTCGCATTTCTCCATAGTTTTTGTGTGTTTCCAAAAACCAAAAAACCCCTTTGTCTTCATTTGCAGTCATTTGGGAATTAAACCAAAAAGTATCGATTTTCGACAGCCAAACTAAAAATTGCCAAAATATTTTAGAATGTTCATGGATTTGTTGCTTCAATTTTTGGATAGAACTAAAAAACAGATACAACAACAACATCAACAACCGACATACCAATGTCGGCAAACCAACCTTGGCCTCGGTCGATCTTGTTCGATTGCAAATACTTAGCTAGCAAATATAAACATAAATACAGGCAATTCCGAATAACGTCGAAACAAAGGATATTTTCACTTGATAAAATTGTACGTATTTAATAATATGTTTAGTTTCAATTATTTGGAGTATACTTTGCCAACAAAACAATGTTAGCCATGTACCCCAAAAAAATAACACGAACAAGAACAAACATTTTTTTTTTTTTTTTGCCAAACAATCTTAACAATCTTAAAGTTACGTTAGCATTCAACAACGAATGAAAATGTCTGGTGGCCTCTCTCATGGCCATTTCCATTCATTTCTTTTCTATGGAACTGTGTTCGTGTGTGTGTTTTAGTATATAAGCATTCGATTACTTGCATTTTTATATTTTGTTGCCTTATATTGGCATCCTTTTTGGTTATGGGAGATACCGTCAATAACTGAGGCTACCAAAATGGAATGGAATTGTAAATGGTGTTGCCGGTTTTACCCCCCATCCAAATAAAAATCATTCTTCTTCCTTTCCTTTTTGTTCCAAACATTTGCTTTTTCGACATGCCATTAGATGACCAAGGGAATATACCAAAAACAGAATTCGAATGCCGAGGCCAAAAAGGGGTTATTTTTCGTTCGTTTTTGTTTCTCGTTTAACATTTGCCAAGTCATGGACAATGATTGAAATTAATGTATTTGTAAATGTTTTGAATTTCTATACAGCACACAGTAGACATAGTACTGAATGGCTAGCTGGCCGGATGCCTGACTGACTAGCTGCATGGAATTCCCCATTCCCCCGAGTTCTAATTTTATAGATTTTGATTTTTCTCCTTGCTTGTCTTATCCTTGGTCTTAGCCTTAGTTGTAGTGCTGTGTCTGTTATCATTTCTGTGATTGTGTTAATGTTGTTATAAATGCTATTTTAATTACGTAAAAGGATACGTTTTGTTATAATTTAATTACGGAGCTACTAGCTCCATAGAAATTAAAACATAAAGCCAGACGACTATGGGTAACCATGGGGAGGTGATGTTTTGATAACTTATTGATGATGAAGTTTTATTATGGGGGTAATATCTGAAAATAAATTTAAATCATTTGGAAAGGAGTGTAGAATATTATCTGGTAACTATAAAATTTAAAGAAAATATGCTTTTAATATTATAAATTAAATAGAGTAAAAATAGTACTCTAGACTTTAAGTCGGGGTACCTTTTATTTAAAAATTTTCAGTAGCTTTATATTAAAGTATTGAGTAATTGGAAATATGAATTTTAATGTTTAATTTTTCATACGTCCGCATTAAATAGTCTGTTCCGTACTGCATGTATCTAAAATGTTTTACTACGATAACAAAATTTCCTTTAGTATATCAGTAAAAACTAATATATCCTTGCTGCACAGGAACAGACCAAAATTTTTCTATAGTAATATTTTTAAGTACTACAAATATTTTTTTTATTATTTTCAGTGATCCATGCAGTTAGCTGGGAAGAATGGTGGACTTATGATGGCATATCAGGTAAGAATTCTTTATTTTTTAATTTAATTAATGTTAAATTATACGCTGATTAAAATAACCGAAATTTTTGCTAAAGAACCACCCTAAATAAATTTGGCGATACATATTTTGGAAAGGAGCACCGAAAATTGGTGATGAAAATGGTATATACCGGTAGATTTTGTAGAATAGACCACGCATAACAGTAACTCCCAATAACCTGTATTTTGAAGCTTTGGGTCATGTATTTCAAGAGAATTGCTTTAAATTTAATATTAAGAATTCTCGTTGAAAAAAACATCCATACTTCGAATATCAATATTGGCCTATTTTCAGGGTAGCCCCCATATAACGATACTCTCCATTATACGGTATTTTGGGGTCTTAGTCCCGTTTTTTTAAACTAATAGGCTGTAATTTGGGTTTTTACTGGGTAGAAACTCTTCATCGAGATGATGCAATAAATATGAGCGGCATTTAAGTTAGGAATGCTTTCTGATATTTTTCTATTATGGCTACTGGGTCCACATTTATCGCTCGTTGGTTGGATGCAGATTAACCACGATGATGGTAGATAGATCGTAGGTTGAAGTCAGTACGAAGAACGGTGACGGACCCCAAGGTTGCCGACAGCTTGGCAGAGCAGCACCGTGATGAGCGGTGACGCCAGCCGAAGTTTGACAGCAGCTTGGCTCTGCAGCTGTCCGATAAGTGGTGAAATTGCCGGAGATTGGCACAGCGACAGCCCGAAAGCTGGCGGTAGCCCGATATTTCATCTTAAAGCCAAAGGCTTGGGTATTCCATTCGCTTAATATTGAATTTATAAATGTTGAAAATGTTGACCATTTATGAGGGAGGTACCAGAAGGAGTGGACCAATGGATCCCATCTTTTGATATGATCTAGACTTGGTACAAATAACAGGTTGTGCAAAGTTTGGTTCAAATCAGGCTTTCCATTCGATTGATATTGGATTTATAAATATTGAAAATGGACCAATGGGTGCCATCTTCAAACATGATCTAGACTTGGAAAAGATAACAGGTTGTGCATAGTTTGGTTTAAATCGGACATTCCCTTCGCCTGACATTGGATTTATCAATATTGAACATGTTTACCCTTTGTGAGGGAGGTACCAGAAGGAGTGGACCAGTGGATCCCATCTTCCTACTTGACATATACTTGCCAAAGATAATAGGATATAAAGTTTCGTTAAAATCGTATAGGCCGTTTGCATGTTATTATAAAATAAATTTGTTCCACGATTTTGACCATTTTGTGGGGGGAGGTACCAGAAAGAGTGGACTGATATTCCCCATATTCGAATTTGGAAGAAATATTAAGATGCGCAAAATTTGGATGAAATCGATTATTCCAGCCAGTCAGACAGACGGACAACGAACATTTGTAAATTTTCTGAAACGGATTTGGATCAAAGAAACATGGGTTCTAAAACCAATATTTCGATGAGAAACATTTTCACCGTATCGAAGTGTATATACCCTCATTAGCCATTATTTTCTACGAAATTACTGTCTAGTATCGAGGTGAAAGTTTGTGGGGGAGGTACCGGTGATGATGATGATACTGAAACTTGGGCCAATATTAAACTTTTTTGGTATGGACATGTTCTATAGAATGAGGACCCAAAATACTAAATTATAGCCAAGTTGAAAAACGTGTCCAAAATCATTATAATACCAAATATTGGGGGGTACCGTTTTATTGGGGCTACACCAAAACGTTGACCGATATATCTCAGTTGCAATACCAAACAACCTAAGAGTACTAGCAATGCTTGTAAAAAATTTCTGGGCTCTCTTTTAATTATTGCGATCCATATCATGATGTCAATAGAATGACAGACGGGCATTCTTAAATCGACATAGAATTTCATTATGATCAGGAATATATCTTATGGGATCTCCGGTGAATATTTCAAGGTGCTGCAAATTCCACCATATAGTGGAGTGTAAAAACCGCATTTTACACTTAAATCAATGTTTTTCCAAAAAGTAGTGCAAAGTGTGCACCGATTAGTAGTTGAAAATATTGTACCCCGTAACTTAAATTGTGGGTCATGTTTATTCTTAAGCCTGCATTTCTTTTCTTCTATTATTTAATAACACTTATAATATTATGTTTGAATTAAAAATTTAAATAAACAACATTTTTGGCAACCAAATTTTCTAAAAATTTCTTTGGTATTTAAATATATAATTCTACTACACATTTATTTAAGTTCAGTTCACCTTATTTTCCCTATATAATGTTTCCCATATATTTAAACTTATCATATATATATATATATATATATATATAAGTATATGTATGCCCGAACACACAAACATTATTGTCTAGATTATGTTACTATTTTACTAGAGCAACAGAAAGTACCAACAAATGATAAAAAAACAGGGAGGAAAATAAAAACATTTAAATGTCATCCAGCAGCAGCAAAGCGGATATTTGGGTTAAACATTTTAAACAAACAACAGCAGCAACAACACAACGACCACGACAACAAAAGCAAACAAATAGCAACTCCAACTAGAAATGCATTGTCTGCCTAAAATGTTCTAATAAGAGCAGAGTTTAGCAGCCAAATGAAATATAAAATGCTCTGTCAAGCTATTGTTTTATTTAAGCGGAAGTATGGAGACATAAACAAAATTGTAAAGGAAAAAATGGGGAAAATAAAAAACAACAAAACTGGGAAAACCAACACACACACCAGCACACCACCCAACCATCCAGTCAAATAGTCAGGCAGTTAGTCAGTCGGGGGCAACAAATTCATTCATTCATGACTTTAAAATAAACAGACAAACGAACGAATGAATGAGCGAGCGAACGAACAAACAATGAATAAAATAAATGCTGAGCAAAGGACAGCAGTAACTGATGCTGCTGCTAAGGCAACATAAAAATGTCCAAATGTCAGGCGAGTCTGACATCTGTGCAACGTGTAGCAGAAGTAGTACTCCAGTATAGTTGGTCCATGTCTGTCTGTTTTGCTGAGTTGGTTGGCTAGGTGGTATTGTTGTCTAGTTTTTTTATTTCATTGTATTTTTTGTTGTATTTTTTCATGAATTTATTTTATTTCCAAAATTTTCAAATAAACTCTGCATCAAATTAAATGGAAAAATGGCCAGCAACAGTCATCATTGCAACGTTGCTCTGCAGTTTCCAGTTTCGTGTTCAGCTAGAATATGAAATTAAAATAATTGAATTAAATAAGAGTTTGTTTTATTGTTTTGAAAGGGATAAACAAAACAGCAATAACGATAGCAACAGAAAGCCAAAACAAAAGTGTGAAAAATTATCCGAATTGTTGTTGTTTTGTTGCAGGTGATGGAGTGTAAACATATTGCATTTAGCTGCTGCTGCTCAAACTGTTGTGGCTGTCAAAAAATTCAAATATTTGCACTTTGGTCGTGGATGGTTGGGTTTATTAAAATAAAATATTCATTTATATATAAAAAGTGAACCACATTGTTTTTAAATTTTTCAATGAAATTTTGGATGATTATTTTAAATGTTTTTTTTTAAAATGTGTACACTTTTGTTTGAATTTATTTGAATTGTAATTATTACTTAATGACTAGTTAATCACATTTTATTTTTGTTGACATATTGGCCTTGGGTGAATAACAGTTGGTCCAAAGTTAAAAAAAAAACAGTGTGGAAAGTAGTAAAGTCGGACTGGGCCGACTATATGATACCCTACACCACTTTGGGTATATTGTACATATGTATCCTTACAATTGTATGTCAATGTTCCCTCGAAGGAACATACTCATGTCTTCCTGCAACCTATGATAAATTAAATTTATTCGGGCAGATTTAGAGTCGTCTGCGTACCATGGGACAATTTATAAACCAGTAAGGAAAGTAGTAAAGTCGGACGGGGCCGACTATATGATACCCTTCACCACTATGGGTATATTAAACAAGACTATTAAAAATTGATGAAATAAAATATGTGATATTTATCTAAATATGAATCTACCTAGATCTATCTATAAAGTATGTAAATCGACTTTAAACAAATATAAATAGGTCATCCGTTGGGCTATGTCTGTACTTCTAGAAAACGCAACTACGTAATTCTATGTTCAATTTTTTAAGTTGTGCAAACTTTGATGTCAATCTGACTAACATGAGGAGTTTGATGCCCAATTTACTTGAAATCGGGCGAAAATATGTATGGAAGCTCTATTCAAATATTAAGCGATTTCAAACAAACCTATCACAGGTTAGGTTATACTAATTTCAGAACGTTGTGTTCCTATCCGCTTATTGGATCCTTGCTGCGTCAATTACTTATAATCAATCTATAATAAAAGGGAGCTATATCTAAATCTGGACCGATTTTCAGTACGTTATGCCAAATTTCGTGCAAATCGAAGGATATATAGAGACTTTGGTGAACCATTTACATGAAATCGGACGAAACTGTATATGGGAGCTATATAGAAATCTGGACCGATTTGCTCGAAACTTGGCAGACATCTTTCTAGGCTCAATTCAGTACGTTATGCCAAATTTCGTGCAAATCGAAAGATATATAGGGACTTTGGTGCACCATTTACATGAAATCGGACGAAACTATATATAGGAGCTATATATAAATCTGGACCGATTTTCTCGAAACTTGGCAGACATCATTCTAGGCTCAATTCAGTACGTTATGCCAAATTTCGTGCAAATCGAAAGATATATAGCGACTTTGGTGCATCATTTACATGAAATCGGACGAAACTATATATGGGAGCTATATAGAAATCTGAACCGATTTTCTCAAAACTTGGCAGACATCTTTCTAGGCTCAATTCAGTACGTTATGCCAAATTTCGTGCAAATCGAAAGATATATAGCGACTTTGGTGCACCATTTACTTGAAATCGGACGAAACTATATATGGGAGCTATATCTAAATCTGGACCGATTTTCAGGAAACTTGGCACACATCATTCTAGACATAATTCATTACGCTGTGCCAAATTTCGTGCAAATCCA